TAAATAAAGCAGATGCAAGGACCAACATTATGGCGGAGGTTGAAAATTTTGTTTAAACTTATTTTTCTCATGAATCTGTTCAGATATGCTATTATACACCTCTGAAGCAAGTGGGATTTTAACCAGGGTTTCTCAGTCCGCTGCACCACAAGAGTCTCTCATGACAGTGGTTGACCCAATCTCACATTAAATGTTTCAGCTGATGGGGCTTGAGGCAATTCAACTTTCTGACTGCCTCCACCAGTTGTTAATCATTACTGTTGTCAGCAGTTTCAGTCAGTTGATCAAGAGAGATCAGGCCGAACACTTCCAATAACGTCTTAATCCATTCAGATGGATTTACTCAAATCAGAGATAGTAAGAACTGCCGACAATGGAGTCAGAGATAACACGGTGTGGAGCTGGAGGTACGTAGCAGGCTAGGCAGCATCAGAGGAGCAAGAAAGCTGACGTTTCGGGTCAGGACCCTTGTTCAAACATTCTTCAGAATTCTGAAGAAGTGTCATGACCTGAAACGTCAGCTTTCCCACTCCTCTGATGCTGCCTGGCCTGCTGTGTACCTCCAGCTCCATATGTGTTATCTCAGATGGATTTACTGTCCAGAGAGTGTAGTGGGGACTGAACAACATTATTTTCCTGGTGGTGATCAGTCTCCTTAGCAGATCAGGGCATGAAAGTAACCTTTCAGTGTGAAATAATATTCTGTTGCTAAGGTGCAGATATATTTGAGCTGTATGTATCCTTAAAACTAACAATAACTAAATTTTTGTAGCAAGTCAAGTTAAAACAAATCTATTTAATTTCTGTTTGATAAGACAAATCAAGAAATCAGAAAACACTTGTATTTTCCATGTCAACTGAGAAAAATCATGAAAAAAAGACCTGAAATATTTACTCTCTCTTTTTACAATGCCGATAAATTGCAAAGTATTTCCAGTATTTTCCATTTTTACGAGGAGAAATTACTACATCTCTTTTTTTAAAATACTTTTTGACAAGTGTGGCTAAAACTCAACAGATAAATCAACAAGTATATTAAAAAAAAAATCTGTAAAAGTTCATCTTTCAAACAAGACCTGAAGTCAAAACCCCATCTGTGATATCATGTGGACATTAAAGATCAAATGCCACTATCTGAAGAGGGGCAGGGGTTTACCCCCAATCGTTAACACTCAGCCAATGCCTGAAATTGATTAGCTAGCAATTTGTTTCACACACCATAGAAATTTACTGTCCACAAACTACCTACTATGTTTCCTACTGCAGCAGAGATTATACCTTTTTCAAAAATATACTTCATTGGATGTTGGTCACTTTGGGACATAATTTGTAAAAGGCCCTGTGGAAAGAAAGTTTTTTTTCTTTCTTTGGATTAACAACATTACAGTTCAGAGTCTTGGCACATGTTAAAAAGGGTAGTATCACAAGATGACAATTGAAGATGAATAAACACAACGTCCCTAACCATAATAAAGGCAACCAAAAAGATAAAAGTGAATACCTGCAATCATGCACCTTATCCATGTCGAAGTTAGCAAATCTATTCAGTGCCGAATGGACATATTGAGACCTCCTAACGTGCAGTTTGATTACAAGTACCAGTATAGGAACAACTTTGAAGTTGAATGTAGTTCGATGCATTGATTGACAAGTTTCAAAATCCAGCATTGCAACATAACTAAAGCTAAAGCAATATCAGCTTATATAGAATCATGGAGATGTACAGCATAGAAACAGACCCTTCAGTCCAACTTGCCTTTACAACCAAATATCCTAAATTAATCTAGTGCCATTTGCCAGCATTGCCCATATCCCTCTAAACGCTTCCTATTCATATACCCATCCATACGCCATTTAAATGTCATAATTGTACCAGCCTCCACCACCTCCTCCAGCAGCTTATTCCATACACGCACCGCCCTCTGCATGAAAAAGATTGCTTAGATCCCTTTTCAGTCTTTCCCCTTTCATCTTAAACTATGTTCACTAGTTTTGGACTCCCCCATCTTGGGGAAAAGGCCTTGACTATTTATCCTATCCATGCCTCATGATTTTATAAACCTCTATAAGGTCACCTCTCAGCCTCCAATGCTCCAGGGATACAGCCTATTCAGCCTATCCCTATAGCTTAAACCCTCCAACCCTGGCAACATCCTTCTAAATCTTATCTGAACCCTTTCAAGTTCACAACATCCTCGCCACGGCACAGAAACCAGAATTGAACGCAGTGTTCCAAAAGTGGCCTAACCAATATCCTGTACAGCTGCAACATGACCTCCTAACTCCTATACTCAATGCACTGACTAATAAAGGCAAGCATACCAAATGCCTTCTTCACTACCTTGTCTACATGCAACTCCACTTTCAAGGAACTATGAACGTGCACTCCAAGGTTTCTTTGTTTGGCAACACTCCCTACAGCCTTACCATTAAGTGTATAATTCCTGCCCTGATTTGCCCTACCAAAATGCAGCACCTCACATTTATCTAAATTAAACTCCATGTGGCCACTGGCCTCCTCCAGTGTCACAGCAACTTGGAACGCAAATTTGAAGAACAGCTCATCTTCCTCCTGGGAACCCTACAGCCCAGAGGACTCAACATTTATTTGTAATTGGAAAACTCACTTTGTCACCCATCCCCTGTCTCCCCTTCCAGCCCCACCTCCTCTCTTTCATTCCACTTTCTGACCCTCCCTTCCAGCCACCAACTGGATTCATCCCTCCCATTGATAAAACCAGGTCATACCTATCACTGCCATTCCGCTGACTCCCTTTATCTTCAGCTCCCCCTACCTCCACATTCAGTCCAGAAGAAGGGTAATACCTGAAACGTTGACTGTTCCTTTCCTCCAGATGCTGTCTGACCTACTGTGTTCTTCCAGCTTCTGGTCTGTCTACCTTGGATTCCAGCATCTGCAGTTTTTTTTGTTTCTATCTACTACGCCTTGGCCCATCTGATCAAGGTCCCACAGTACTTTGAGGTAATCTTCTTCGTTGTCCACCACACCAGTTTTGTTGTCATCTGCTAACTTACTCACCATACCTCCTATGTTCACATCCAAATTATTTATATAAATAACAAAAAGCAGTGAACCCTGCACCATTCTTGTTACATACTGCTGGTCACAGGCCTACATATTCTAAAATGTTGCATAAAAACAGAAACATCTTTGGCTCAGTTATGCTACTTAGTTTGCAACAGCTTCAGAAAGAATAAAACCTTCAAGGCCAGATGAGCAGTTTAATTCTTCTGTTAGACTACATGACAACTGTACTTCTCATTGATTAGATTCCCATTCAGAAAGATTACTTCATTTTGCATACCAATGCTCAGTGTATGGGAAGCTTTCAACTCAAAAATATAAATTAGAACTTGGCACGCAGTCAACCACGATGTGAGCAAACCAACTGTACACACACACTTCGTACACACACGTAAAAAAATCTCATGAACCAGAACACTTAACGAAAAGCAAGATACAAAAAGTGCTGTTCAGTACTTCCATTCAAAGGTAGAACATGTCACAATTTCTCTGCCATCACAGCATTCCACTCTTCCTCAAAAAGGCCCACTCGCTCAAGCAGCAAATGAGATATATTTTTGTGATGTTGAAAAATTGTAGTCATAGCACCTCTTAAACCCAGTTGACAGGGCAGGGGCTTCAGTTTATTGGCCCATCCAAAACGCAGCACTTCTGAAAGGCTAACACTGTCAGTACCACACCAAAATGTCAACCTAATTTGTTAAACTTGGATGAAACTCAAACCTATCTTCTCACTCAGAGCTGGAAATATTACCAACTAAACCAAGGCTGACAAATTCCCAACATAATTTACAAATTTGCCTCATTAGTTTAAACCTGTTCCACTTTAATGTCCTATTTAAGTTGAAGTAATATTCAAGATTCACCTTATCCATTCACTTTACACACTCAAACTACATTTTAGAATTAACTACCGCCACCCAACACACAGCCCTGAAAACGCTAACCTTATCTTTGATGCTGACTAACATCAGAAAACTAAAATCAGTAGGTTTTGTGGGTTCCTTTCGTGCATCTCCAGCACTTGAGACTGAAACTGGGAGGAGTATTTGAAATCTCATCTGGCAAGGCCGGACGGAGCGTAACTTTGACTTTTACTTCGACTTGGCGAGATAACCAAGCTGGCTTTGTTGATTCTGCTGAGTTTACTGATACCTACAGATGCACTTCAATCCCGCATTTTAGCGACACTCAAAGAGCGCCTCTCGCCCATCTTGTTATTGACACAACCCTATGTTGGATTCTGTCAATAATAACGAAGTCTGTCCCCGCTGATTTTATCCAATTCGCTTTCTAAGTCCCACAGGTTCAATCGTTACCGCCGCCGCCATCGCCATCACCACCACCACCTCCTCTCTTGACTATGTGGTAACCTACACAACTGTAACAATTTTTCATTGAATATTTAAAACAGATTGTTCATTCACAAAAAAACCCTGAAAATGTCGCGGATAAAAATGTCAGGAAACACATCCCCTTTAAACCATTGTTAGGAGTGGTAGCTGGGGGCGGGAGAGCTGCTAACATAACCTTCAGCCTAGTTATCCATACCCCAGCTTCTTAACCTTCAATTCTCCAAGAATTAGCCTCTGCTGTCTGCCCTCTTTGTGTGGCTGAAAAGGGTTTCTGAACACATAAATCAGAGTCTGCGGTGAAATCCCTTTCCCTTGCACTCTTTCAACACCAGGCGGAACGTAAACTCAGTCAATACCTTTTTTTGTGTGTGTGGCAGACCTTTAACACTGCCGGCTTACTTTCATCAATCATTTCCCAAACCCCGGCCTATTATTTTCATTTGCTACCTTAAACGCTGCGTATAATGTAATTCCCTTGCTTTACACGTCGTTGCCAAGATGGGAGATGTCATTGCGTTAAAGCCGTTTCCTTATCGCGCACTCCCAACTCTACACGACCATGTAAATATATATTCAGAATCACAATGCACATTTCTTACCGCTGTAAGTGCGGCGCTCTGTCCGCTACTGACGTGATCAGCTTCCCAATAAATTTGACAACACAGCCTCCAAACCTCCAGAGGCTTTCACTGAATTCCCCCTCACTGCTGGTGACTTCACTTGAGACACTCTCTCATACTTCAGAGAATACGCTGTTACATTCCTGGGCTCAGCTCACAGCCCTCAAACCGGGACTCTGCCCTGTGACTGAAACCAAAACACCATGCCTTTCCCACTAAACCCGAAAGGAGCAGATAAGCCCTTGTGACGCTGAACAGGAAACTGAAAGAAGAGCCTATCTTTTAAAGGAGCACAACGAATCAAGGACTGAGCGATAAATATAACCCAAACAAGTGCTTTTACAACAGGGCAGTGCTCGAATCCCTACCTCTGAGTTTGTGACGCACCTGAGGTGGGTCTATACAGGGTGATTAGCAATAAAATCATTGAAAGACTTGTCCCTGTCCAATGTATATTCCAATTTTTATCGTGCCTGCTGGTTGTAGAAAAAAAAATGACATAATGAAGCTTTAAGAGTGTGCAAGGGTTTTAGTTCAGGAGAGATGTTAGGAAGCACTTCTACAGACAAAGGGTTTGGAAATCCCTTCCGCAAAAAGCAATTGATGCTTTCAATGCTCGGTTTGAGCAGAATGCCAGTGGCGAGATGATGCCTGCCCCAGACAGACCTATTCCCTCTGTCACCACTGCAGATGTCAGATCAGTCTTTCTGGGAGTCAACTCAAGGAAAGCGACTGGCCCGGACGAGCACTCAGATCCTGTGCAGATCAGCTGGAGGAGGAGGAATTCACTGACATCTTCAACCTCTCCCTCCTACAAGCCGAAGTCCCCACTTGCTTCAAAAAGACCACCATCATCCTCATACCCAAGAAAGCACATGCAGTGTGCCTTAATGACTACCACCCAATAGCTCTGACGTCAATTATCATGAAGTACTTTGAGAGGCTGGTCATGGCCCACATCAACTCCAATCTCCCAACCTGCCTCGATGCCCTATAGTTTGCCTACCGACGTAACAGGACCACAGCGGATGCCATATTCCTAGCCCTGCACTCATCCCTGGAACATCTGAACAAGAAAGACACCTACGTCAGACTCTTGGTCATTGACCACTGCTCCGCCTTCAAAACCATTATCCCCTCCAGACTGCTCTCAAAACTCTGTGACCTTGGTCTCAGCTCCATCCTCTGCAACTGGGTATTCAGCTTTCTGACCCACAGAATGGAATAATTGAAGATAGGTAACTGCACCTCCTCCACAATAACACTCAACACTGGAGTCCCGCAAAGATGCCTACAGTCCCCTACTGTACTCTGTGTACACCCACAACTGTGTTGCCAAATTCCAAATGAACGCCACTTACAATTTCACTGACAATCCATCATAGTGGGATGGACATCAACAGCAAGGAGTCAAAATACAGAAGCCAGATAGAGGGCTTGGTGACGTGGTGCAATGAAAACAACCACTCTCTTAACGTTGGAAAAACTAATGAACTGATCATTGAACTGATCAGAAAGAAGGAGAACATGCCCCCATTTACATCAACGGAACTGAGGTTGAGAGGGTGGAGAGCACCAAGTTCCTAGAAGTGATGATAATCAACAACTTGTCCTGAACTGCCCACGTAGATGTGACAGTCAAGAAGGCACAACAATGCCTCTTCTTCCTCAGGCGGCTCAGGAAATTTGGCATGTCCATAAGTTCCTCACCAAGTCCTACTGATGTACCATTGAAAGTATACTGTCTGGGTACATAACGGCCGAGTAATGGCAACTGCTCTGCCCGGGACTGTAAGAAACTATGTGCACAGCCCAGACCATCACAGAAGCCAACCTTCTATCCATGGACTCCATTTACATGGCTCACTGCTGCAGAAAGGCTGCCAACATCATCAAGGACCCATCTCACTGCGGTAATAATCTCCTACAACCTCTTCCTCAGGCAGAAGATACAGAAGCCTGAACAGGTTCAGGAACACCTTCTTCCTGGTCATTATTAGACTGATGAATGGACTCTCCAGACTCAAATAATGATTGATCTTGCTAACGTTGGTGCTGCCTAGTCCATCCCCTGTGCAATGTAACCTGTACCGCTGTCTAAGTTCATTTTGATCTGTACATCATTGCTTACTGTGAACTGCCTGTACTGATCATAAACAAAGCTTTTCACTGTAGTTCGGTACACGTGACAATAAATCAATCAATCAATAATGCTAAATCAGTTGTTAATTTTAAATCTGAGAGATAATTTTTTATTAAGGAAAGGTATTAAGGGGTATGGGCCAAAGGCAGATATGTGGAGTTAAGCCACAGCTCAGCCATGATCTCACTGAATGCCAGAACAGCTTGAAGGGCTGAATGGCCTACTCCTATGTTCCTGAATTTAGTGAAGGTAAGTCCAAAACTCTAAGGCATCTTTCAATTTCCCAAGAACAAGGGCTTGCACTGTTCTGATGAGAAGTCCAACACGAGAGGTTGTTGATCAATTTATTAGAGAGAGAAGTTTATTTGTCCAGAGGATGTTTAAGATCTGGAACTTGCTGTCTCATGTGATGAATTTTATATAGAGTGTAGACCCGTTGGGCAGAAGAACTGGTTTCTGTGTTCTAAGTTCAGTCTATTCTGTATATAATTAGGATTTGAATGAGTGACCTTTAAAGAAGTACAAAAAGTAGTTAATCCCCCATGGGACCAATGTGCTATCTTCCACATGCATTTGTACACACAACTTATTTACATTCAGGTCAATGGTTTGTATGCAGGTCAGCTCTGTATTATACATTGTTTGTGGTAAGCTCTATAATTGTTCAAGGGCCACTTGCTTTTGTCACTTTTAGTTTCCTAAACAAAGGTGTGTGTGCACTAATGATGTCAGTGATACAGTAAGTGATCATGTCACCCACATTAATTCAGTTAAGTCTTTTAAAAATCAAACCTTATAAACAAACTGCAGAAAGTTTAATGAGAAATAATATGTTGAATTGCAGACTTAACTTGGTGGTCAAAAGTTTAAAGATCAGTAAAATAATTTTCACATCTCATATCTAAATTCCAAGACAAATTCCCACATTTTTCCAGGTAAGTGGATTGGTAAACCAATTGTCTTCAACTTTGGGAAAAAACTTGATTCACTTTTTACTCGCAATAAACATCAGGCCCCAATTGATAGTAATGTCATGCACACTGGACAGTTGTGTTGTGGTGAAATCAGAGTCTAAGTATCTACTACTATCTTACACAACTCAATCATTATCATCTTATGAATGTTTCCAAATCTCAATTCTTTGAAATGGACTTAGGTCCACAGGCAAACAATGAAGTTTAACAAAAATCAATAAAAGATTTTACAGAGATAGTAGGAACTGCAGATGCTGGAGAATCCGAGTTAACAAGGTGTAGAGCTGGATGAACACAGCAGGCCAAGCAGCATCAGAAGAGCAGGAAGGCTGACGTTTCGGGCCTGGACCCTTCTTCAGAAAAATG